CTTCCTCTTGTCTCAACTTCCCTTTATAACCTTTAGATTCTAAGCTCACTGCAAACTTTGTAAAATGTTGTTAAAATCACTTTAATCGCTAGATCTCAGCTCACAGACAGGGCATTCTTTACCTTTTGTGCTGGCTTGTGTATATTATACTGTCTTTTTCTCAACGTGTACAGAGCTGTGAAATTTGTGAGTCCTTTGTAAATGCCAGTAATAACAATAATAATAATAATTGAGGATGTATTAACATAGTGTCAGGGTACCTGTTGGTGCTGAATCCAGGGAAGACATCCTCTCTGTTTAGGGGCTCCCTGCCCCTAGCATTTCGGCATATTCCGGCCGTTTTCGCGCCGGCCGCGCTAGCTCCTCCCCCTTTTATGACGCGACGGCTAGCGTCGACGTCATGACGTCGGCATTTACATGAAGTGCCGGGAACCGCTATTCCGGACCTTTTGGGGGCGTGGTCTCTATTTAGGTAACAGGGTATTTAAAGGAAACCTTTACTACTGCTCATTGCCCTGTCGTGGTTCTAGCTTGCTAGTCACTCAGCGCGTTCTTTATCTTGTGTTTCCGGTTTTGACCCTTGCTTGTCTTTTGTCCTGTTGTCCTCTCCTCTCCTTTGACTCGGCTTGTATCTCGCTTACCTGTCCTCCGGCTCCCTCGACCTCGGCTTACCTTTTGACTATTCTTGCTTTATCCCTACGTTAGTCCGGCCATTCTAAGGTCCGGTATACGTACCTCCTTCTGTCCGCACTCTGCGTATTGGATCCCTGTCAGTATCCTGACATTACGACAGGGCCAAAATGGATCCTGTAGGTGCTAGTCCTCCTGACCCCAGATTTGAGGCCATGGACCATAGAATGGACCAAATGGCTTTAGCATTACAAACTTTGTTAACACGCTCCAGCACTCAGTCTGAAGAAATACGTTCCACTGCTAGCCACTCGCTAAGTACTGGTTTGGAAGTAGCCACTGTAGGCGCATCTTCCCATGTCACTTCACCGTTACGATATGGGGGTTCGCCTGATGCTTGTCGTGGTTTTTTAAACCAGATAAGCATACATTTCGAACTTCAACCCCGGGCTTACCCTACTGACAGGGCTAAAGTAGGCTTTATTATAACCCTGCTAATAGATAAAGCACTTAGATGGGCCAATCCCCTTTGGGAGAATGACAATCCTTTAGTCTACAACTACACTGCTTTTGTCACGGCTTTTAGAAGAACCTTTGACCCCCCAGGAAGGAAGATTAATGCGGCCAGATCCCTGTTACGCCTTAAACAACAGAATAGGACCCTTGTAGAATATGCTCTAGAGTTTAGATCATTGGCAGCAGAAGTGAAATGGAACGAACAAGCTTTTATGGATGTATTCTTGAATGGGTTGTCTGATGAAATTCTAGATGAGATTGCCACAAGAGAACTTCCGGAAAATTTAGAGGATTTAGTATCCTTCATTTCCAGAATAGATGAACGCATGAGACAGAGGCAGAACACTCGGGAAAGAGTTACTAGACTTCCTGTAAGACTCGCTCCCTCATTTCAGAACCCTGACTCCTTTAATCCTACTCCACCAGAACCTATGCAAATAGGTAATACTCGCTTATCTGAGGCTGAGAGACAGTACAGAAGAAGGGAGGGTCTCTGTTTATACTGCGGGCTGAGAGGTCACCTACGCCTTAGTTGCCCTAATCGTCCGGGAAACGCTCGCACCTAAGTTCCCTTAGAGGACGGGCCTTGGGTGTTTCATTACTGTCCTCTATGCATAATAAAAAAGACCATAGGCTTCTGATTCCTGTCTCTCTAGCTTGGGAAAAGGGGTTTATTTCTACGATGGCATTATTAGATTCTGGAGCAGCAGAAAGCTTTATAGACCAAACTTTCGCTAATAAGCATTGTATCCCATTCCAATTGAGAGATACACCCTTGGCCGTTGAGGCCATAGATGGTAGACCTTTATCTGAACCAGTAATATTCCATGAGACCAAACCCGTTAAGCTTACTGTTGGTATTTTCCATGAGGAGTTGATTTCCCTTCTGTTAATTTCCTCCCGGCAGTCCCTGTGGTGCTAGGATATTCTTGGCTCAAGAGACACAACCCTCAGATTGACTGGGAGGGTGGAGAAATCGTTTCTTGGGGTATGGGTTGTAGGAAGGAATGTCTGCAGAGAGTTACTCCTGTTTGCCCCGTAAACTCTTATGCTAACACTTTCCAATCCACAGACGTTCAGATACCGTTACAATATCTAGACCTCAAATCTGTATTTGACAAGGGTAAGGCGGATACTTTACCTCCCCACCGGTCTTATGACTGTTCTATTAAACTTTTCCCTGGTACTATGCCTCCCAGGGGTACAGTATACCCTCTATCCACCAAGGAAAACTTAGTTTTAGAGGAATACATCAAGGAGAATTTAGACAAAGGATTTATTAGAAAATCTTCTTCTCCGGCGGGGGCGGGTTTCTTTTTTGTAGAAAAAAAAGACGGTACCTTACGTCCTTGTATAGACTATCGGGGATTGAACAAAATTACTATCAGGAATGCTTATCCTATTCCTTTGATTACTGAACTCTTTGACAGACTAAAGGGCTTGAGTATTTTTACCAAACTTGACTTGAGAGGAGCATATAACTTGGTGCGAATTAAACAAGGAGATGAATGGATGACAGCATTTAATACCCGTTACGGGCATTATGAGTATACCATAATGCCGTTTGGGCTTTGTAACGCCCCGGCCGTCTTCCAAGACTTGATCAATGAGGTTCTTAGAGAATTCCAACATGAATGTGTAATTGTATATTTGGATGATATACTAATCCATTCTAGAGACATTAATTCACATCATAGACAAGTCAGAAAGGTATTACAGAAACTTTTACAACATGGATTGTATTGTAAATTGGAAAAATGTAGCTTTGACCAGTCTCAGGTAACTTTCTTAGGTTACGTAATTTCCAAAGACGGGTTTATGATGGACCCGACCAAACTAAAGTCGATTTTAGATTGGCCTTTACCTAAGGGACTCAAAGCCATACAAAGATTTCTTGGATTTTCTAATTATTACAGACGTTTTATTAAAGGGTACTCCTCTGTTATCGCTCCTATCACTAATATGACCAAACAAGGAGCCGATACCAAAACCTGGTCTACTGAGGCTTTATCTGCTTTCGAAACGCTCAAACAGTCTTTTGCCTCAGCACCTGTATTAGTTCATCCTGATACCTCTCTACCCTTTTTACTTGAAGTGGATGCGTCTGAAACAGGGATAGGCGCAGTGTTGTCCCAAAGACAAAGTTTAGATAAGCCGCTGCACCCTTGCGGTTTTTTTTTCAAGAAACTATCACACACTGAAAGGAGATATGACATTGGTGATAGAGAACTTTTAGCTATCATTATGGCATTAAAGGAATGGAGACATTTGTTAGAGGGCACTGTCCTCCCAGTTACTATCTTGACTGACCACAAAAATTTATCGTATATGGGGAGGCCAAAAGATTATCTGCCAGGCAGGCACGTTGGTCTATGTTCCTTACACACTTTAATTATATGCTTACTTACAGGCCTGGTTCTAAGAACACTAAGGCAGACGTTTTGTCACGTCAGCACGAACCTATCACCTCTACAGAGGACACTTTGTTCCCTATTATTCCTGAAGTCAATATTATCACCAACACCAATGTCAAAATACACTCTCCATTGCTCGCTGATATTATGAACGAACAATCTCTTGCTCCCGAACGTACTCCTGTGGGCCGCTTGTTCGTGTCTCCCAAATTCCAAGTGGACATTATTCGCTGTTTTCACGATAGCAAGTTCGCTGGTCACCCCGGCATCCACAAAACTTACTGCCTGATCTCCAAAGACTTCTGGTGGCCTGGTTTACGTAGGGATGTGGAAGACTTTGTCAAGGCTTGCAATGTTTGTGTCAGGAATAAACTTCCGCGGGATCTCCCTTGTGGTTTATTGCAGCCCTTAGTCGTTCCCAACAAACCTTGGGCTTGTTTGGCTATGGATTTTATTGTTGATCTACCAGCTTCCAGTAGGCATACGGTTATTCTCACGGTCCTTGACAGGTTTACTAAAATGGCTCATTTCATTCCCTTGCCTAAACTTCCGTCTTCTCCTGAACTGGCCGTGATATTTGCTAAAGAAATTTTCCGTTTACATGGTATTCCCAATGAGATTGTGTCAGACAGGGGTTCCCAATTTATTTCCCGTTTTTGGAGATCCTTCTGTTCCCAGTTGGGCATCAAACTGAATTTTTCTTCGGCCTATCATCCTCAATCTAACGGAGCAGCCGAACGCACTAACCAATAAATTGAGCAATATCTACGTTGTTTTGTTTCTGAACACCAGGATGACTGGGACGGTCTGATTCCTTGGGCGGAGTTTGCTCACAACAACCTTGTTTGTGGTTCCACTTGTAATAGCCCCTTTTTCTTGAACTATGGCTTTAACCCTACTGTCCTTCCGTCGGTGTCTCCTTCCCAGGGTATACCGTCGGTTGATATTCATATAGCCAACCTGAGAAAGTTGTGGGATCAGACTCGACAAATTCTTACACGTAGTTCCGCGGTGTTTAAGTCACATGCTGATAGGCGTAGGCGGTCTGCTCCTATTTTTTCTCCAGGTGATAGGGTCTGGTTGTGTACCAGACACATTCGCCTGAAGGTTCCTTCCTTGAAGTTTGCTCCTCGTTACATTGGTCCGTACAGGGTGCTGAGGAGGATCAACCCGGTTTCTTATTTGCTGGATCTGCCTCCTACTCTACGCATCCCTAACTCTTTTCATGTGTCTTTATTGAAACCTCTTGTTTGTAACAGATTTTCCTCCCACTCTGCTCCTCCATCCTCGGTCCGTGTGGATGGTCAGGAGGAATATATCATCAAGTCCATCCTTGATTCTCGTATTTCTAGGGGGAAGCTGCAATACCTCATAGACTGGAAAGGTTATGGTCCAGAAGAGAGGTCTTGGGTTCCTTGTGTAGACGTGCATGCTCCTCGCCTTCTTCGGGCCTTCCACGTTCGTTTTCCTTCTAAGCCCGGTCCCATCCGCCCGGTGGGCGTTTCTAGAAGGGGGGGTACTGTCAGGGTACCTGTTGGTGCTGAATCCAGGGAAGACATCCTCTCTGTTTAGGGGCTCCCTGCCCCTAGCATTTCGGCATATTTCGGCCGTTTTCGCGCCGGCCGCGCTAGCTCCTCCCCCTTTTATGACGCGACGGCTAGCGTCGACGTCATGACGTCGGCATTTACATGAAGTGCCGGGAACCGCTATTCTGGACCTTTTGGGGGCGTGGTCTCTATTTAGGTAACAGGGTATTTAAAGGAAACCTTTACTACTGCTCATTGCCCTGTCGTGGTTCTAGCTTGCTAGTCACTCAGCGCGTTCTTTATCTTGTGTTTCCGGTTTTGACCCTTGCTTGTCTTTTTGTCCTGTTGTCCTCTCCTCTCCTTTGACTCGGCTTGTATCTCGCTTACCTGTCCTCCGGCTCCCTTGACCTCGGCTTACCTTTTGACTATTCTTGCTTTGTCCTTACGTTAGTCCGGCCATTCTAAGGTCCGGTATAATGCATTCTTCTGTCCGCATCTCCGCGTATTGATCCCTGCCGCATCCCACACATAGAATGTAACGGCAGATAAGAAACCATTCGGCCCATCTAGTCTGCCCAATTTTCTAAATACTTTCATTAGTCCCTGGCCTTATCTTATAGTTAGGATAGCCTTATGCCTATCCCACGCATGCTTAAACTTCTTTACTGTGTTAACCTCTACCACTTCAGCTGGAAGGCTATTCCATACATCCACTACAGCAGCCTTTAGATTTGGGGACAGCAGCCCATAGATTTGGGGGCAGCAGCCCATAGATTTGGGGCAGCAGCCCATAGATTTGGGGAGGGGGGCAGCAGCCCATAGATTTTTTGGGGGGGCAGCAGCCTATAGATATATAGAAATGAACAGGAAGGGTCAGCAAGGAGCTGGAAGGTAAAGCAGCACAAAGGTAAAGTAGAAGGAGCAGAAAGGGTCAGAAATGAGCTGGAAGGGGCAGAAGGAGCACAAAGGTAAAGTAGGAGAATGAGCAGGAAGGGCCTGCAAGGAGCAGAAAGGTAAAGGAGCAGAAAGGTAAAGGAGCAGAAAGAATTAGAAGGAGCACAAAGGTAAAGTAGGAGAAAGAGCAGAAAGGGACAGCAAGGAGCACAAAGGTAAAGTAGAAAAGGAAGCAGAAAGGGTCTGCAAGGAGCAGAAAGGGATCAGAATGAGAAAGGAGCAGAAGGGCGCAAAATAAGCAGAAAGTAACAGAAAGGTAAAAGAGCAGAAGGGGCCAAGGATAGAAAACAGTGTCAGAAGAAAAAAAAAAGATTGTCAAATGAAGGAGAGGAAAAGGAGATTGGAGCAGGAAGGACAAATGAAGTAAACCCTCCACTTTATTCTGGACACCACATCATAAGGCTTTGGTACCTGGGCCTGGCAGGGAAACTCTGGACCTTCTCATCTCCCCAGGTAAAAAAAAATATCAGTGTTAATGTGTTCACTTTTATTTATTGAGTGTCAGGAAGCACAGAGTGCCGCTGGGTAGGGGTGTTGCTGATTGGCTAGAGCGGTCAGCTGGCACTCTAAGCCAATCAGTAGCTCCCCATTCATAAAAAAGTACAAATATTTTATGAACTGGGAACTAGAGATTGGCTTAAAGAGTCAACTGTCCACTCTAGCCAATCAGCGGCACCCATGCCTGACATCAGTCTTCACTTCCTGACACTCTGTTTCAGAAGCCAAATACCACTGAGCGACCTGGAGCTGGAGGAAGCCTTTGGGGTTAAACCATTTGAGAGCGATTTAACCCCTTAAAGGAAAGCGAGCACCCAGGGGCTTCCTGGCATCATAGCATTTTCATTTAGGTGAAGTTGTTATGGTGACCAGAAATGTCCTTTAATTTGCTTAGTGTTAAAGGAACACTATAGTGTCAGGAATACAAACATATTCCTGACACCATAGTTGTGAAAACACTATTCACCCTGGCTTTATGTGATAATGGCTATGCCCCTTCCCTTTCATGACACTGTCAAAAAGGTACCAAGCATTGATGTCATTACAATTATGCCCCCCCCCCTGGAAAAATTCCTGCGGACGCCCATGGTCTTGTCTTTCCTCGAAGTTATGCATGTTAAGATCCTTTAACCTTTCCTGGTAAGTTTTATCCTGCAATCCATGAACCAGTTTAGTAGCCCTTCTCTGAACCTTCTCTAAAGTATCAATATCCTTCTGGAGATATGGTCTTCAGTACTGCGTGCAATACTCCAAGTGAGGTCTCACCAGTGTTCTGTACAATGGCATGAGCACTTCCCTCTTTCTACTGCTAATACCTCTCCCTATACAACCAATCATTCTGCTAGCATTTCCTGCTGCTCTATTACATTGTCTGTCTACCTTTAATTCATCAGAAATAATCACCCCTAAATCCCTTTCCTCATATGTTGAGGTTAGGACTCTATCAAATATTCTGTACTCTGCCCTTGGGTTTTTACATCCAAGATGCATTATCTTGCACTTATCCACATTAAATGTCAGCTGCCACAGCTCTGACCATTTTTCTTGTTTTTACTAAATCATTTACCATTTGGCTTATCCCTCCTATTTTTAATTGAAGAAGCAGTTAGTATTGCTGCTTAGGTAGTGGGAGAAAATTCCACAGAAAAGGGTTAAGAATGGAAGAGTAAAGTGAAGGATACGTAAGATTACATCTGTTTTCCTGTATATATTCTATGTACTGCAATTATGTTTCCATTAGTAGTACATAGAGTACATGCCATAGGATTGCTAGCTGATTAAGGATTTGATTTTCTACCTAGGACCTTTGAATACTATAAACGTTTAACGTGTGTCCCATCAATAAGTATATGCGGTATGTGTCCAGGTAAATATGGTAGATCTGGCAACCTTAGTTCGGGATGAATGTTGGCCAGTTTATCTCATAATAGCAAATCTAAAAAAACAATAGCCTGTCTAATAATATTCTGCTTTTATCACATTTTTGCCATATTGGAAAGTTAACATTCGTTTACTGGGCTACCCTTGTAAAATCAGAAGATTCTTATTAGTTTGCTATGAGATCCTGGAAAAGAAAAACAATATCAACCCCTTTACTACTAAATGGTTAGCAAAAAAAAACACAGAATCCGGTACTTTGAGTTTCTTTTAAAGTGATGTTTAAATACATTTTTTTATTTCCGAATGGATACATGGTACATTACAAGGAAGTACATCCACTTGGAGTGAATGGGCAACAGCTCTTCAAGCAGCAAGAAGGAACTGTAGAATAAGAAATAGTCCAATAGGATCCCAGTATCATTAAAGTGATCCTTAATTTAAGATGCCAAGTAAATGCATTAAATAAAGGATCACTTTACTGATACTGGAATTTTACTGGACTATTGCTTGTTCTCTGAGTATGACAAGATGACTGTGACAGAGTGAGTGTGACAGGGTGAGTGTGACAGAGTGAGTGTGACAGGGTAACTGTGACAGAGTGAGTTCTGATAGAGTGGGTATGAAAGGGTAACTGTGACAGAGTGAGTGTGACAGGGTGACTGTGACAGAGTGAGTTCTGATAGAGTGGGTGTGAAAGGGTAACTGTGACAGAGTGAGTGTGACAGGGTGACTGTGACAGAATGAGTGACAGAGTGAGTATGACAAGGTAACTGTGACAGAGTGACTGTGGCAGTGTGAGTATGACAGTGGTAACTGTGACAGAGTGAGTGTGACAGAGTGAGTATGACAGAGTGAGTGTGACAGAGTGAGTGTGATAGAGTGGGTATGAAAGGGTAACTGTGACACAGTGAGTGTGACAGGGTAACTGTGACAGAGTGAGTGTGACAGAGTGAGTAAGTGACTGACAGAGTAACTGTGACAGAGTAACTGTGACAGAGTCAGTGAGTGTGACAGGGTGACTGTGACAGTGTAACTGACACAGTGAGTGTGGCAAGTAACTGTGACAGAGTGAGTGTGACAGGGTGACTGTGACAGAGTGAGTGTGACAGAGTGACTGTGACAGAGTGAGTGAGTGTGACAGAGTGACTAACTGTGACAGAGTGTATGTGACAGAATGAGTGTGACAGAGTGAGTATGACAAGGTAACTGTGACAGAGTGACTGTGGCAGTGTGAGTATGACAGGATAACTGTGACAGAGTCAGTGTGACAGGGTGACTGTGACAGGGTAACTGTGACAGAGTGCGTGTGTGGCAGGGTAACTGTGACAGAGTGAGTGTGACATGGTGACTGTGACAGAGTCAGTGTGACAGGGTGACTGTGACAGACTGTGACAGAGTGAGTGTGACATGGTAACTGTGACAGTGTAACTGACACAGTGAGTGTGGCAAGGTAACTGTGACAGAGTGAGTGTGACAGGGTAACTGTGACAGAGTCAGTGTGACAGGGTGACTGTGACAGAGTGAGTGTGACATGGTAACTGTGACAGTGTAACTGACACAGTGAGTGTGGCAAGGTACTGTGACAGAGTGAGTGTGACAGGGTAACTGTGACAGAGTGAGTGTGACAGGGTGACTGTGGAAGAGTGAGTATGACAGAGTGACTGTGACAGAGTGAGTGAGTGTGACAGAGTGACTATGACAGGGTAACTGTGACAGAATGAGTGACAGAGTGAGTATGACAAGGTAACTGTGACAGAGTGACCGTGGCAGTGTGAGTATGACAGGGTAACTGTGACAGAGTGAGTGTGACAGGGTGACTGTGACAGAGTGAATGTGACAGAGTGAGTATGACAGGGTAACTGTGAAAGTGTGACTTTGGAAGGGTAATTGTGGCGGTAGCTATAACTGGCATGTAGGGTAGATTGTGTATATGTCTGTCCAGCTATGGCACACATAGTAGATTATTGCTTTTTTTTCTTTAGTTGAACCTCCCTCCTGCTTACATTTTCTGCAGTGAGGAGGGCTCTAATCTTCATTCCATGGTGGTCCATTAGTTTCCCCAGTGGTTTGGTGGGCTTCCAGGCAGAGCTGCACCTCCAGCTCATTGCAGACCCCTCTGAATGCTGCCTTCCAGTCTCTAAACAGGAGGGAGCATCTGCAGAGAGTTGTTCACAGGCAGAGGTGTTGCCTGCACAGTGAGCAGCACTGGGCCATGCAGGGGGATCTGAAGATGGGGGGCTCAGCAGAGCCATCACTTGAATGGAGCACCAGCTCTGTTGCCTAG